CCCGTGCCGTCATGGGGTTTTATCCGGTTCCCCCCCCCCAAAAAAGTCCAAAAACATGTTGAGGTTAACTGGAGGGGCCAAACTGTCAATGGTGTGTGAGTCCTCTGCCAAGCGTTGGCACCCTGCCATAGGTTGTGCCCTGCCTTGCCCCCACAACCTCTGGGACAGGCACAAGTGGGTACAGAAAATGGACAGATCTTCCTTAAGAACATCAGTTTAATTAAATCACCCTGAAGACTGATTTTTACCATGTTAAATCTTGCAAAAAGCTTTTAACTTAAATGAATACAATTTAAATAATCAGTACACCACACTGTACTGAAACAGCAATTATTGGAGTGGCAAGTCCAAGATAAATAAATACTTGAGATAAAGGAGAACGTGGCAGCATTCCTGATTGCCAATACAGACTCCACCTTGCAGGAGGTGAAGCGCCAGGGACACGGATTTGATGATGATTAACTTCCTCGCACATCAGAACTGCGCCCTGCCATGTGGACGGTCTGGTGGGAGATGAAGGTTCCGGTGTATCGCCGCGGCGACGCCCCCAGCATCAAGTACATCAGGAGCGACCAGCACGGAATGTAGCAGATGTCAAATTCTGCTAATGAGATGGGGGGGGGGGGGGGGGGGACAGCTACTCTCTCTCTCCGACTGGCAGAGGACAGACGCTCACGAAAGTCAACATGGAGAAGCGAGAGCCATATCTGGACTGGGAAAATCCCCATTGTGTAAAATTACAAAATGACACTGAAGGCCCACAGAACCAGTGACAGCTTCCTTAACTATAAAAACCAGTTGCAATCCTTTGTTGATTTAACAACCAGGAAGCTCAAAGGACGGAGAGTAACAGTCTATTCTAGCCAGACTGACACATTCTTCCACTTAACCAAACATTTCCGACACGTGGCAGAGCCGCTAATTACAGGTCACCTGAAAGCAATGACCCCCACAGAATGAAAATGTAATTACTAACGATCTGCTGTCACTGTCGACCCTGTTAAACACCTTTCCGACCTGCCGAGCCAGCAAGTGGGCCCAGGTGTGAAAGATAAGACACTTGGCCATTATCCAGACAGACCCTCAGTTTCCTCAAGCTGCGTCATGTGACTCACGTGGGGCCTCATCCTATGGGCTCTTGGCCGAGTCGCACTGCAAAGGAGCCTTACTCAGCAGAAGTTCAATGCAACATCAGACCTAAATGCTATAAAACCCCAACTCTGGCCTTTTTGTAACATCTACATCACCAGATCTAAGCCGAACCAAGCGGCTTATTGATGGGTAACGTGACCTGAGCCGTAACAGGATAATACAGCAAAATTATTACAAAATATGATATACATACATACACACACAGACACACGTTTGCAGGGTATAACAGTCAGGGCTTCCCCTTCCACATTTCTAGTTGTTTAATCAAGGTGCACTCCCAAAACACACAGACGCCAAAAGTGACGCCACATTTCAAACTTTCCTTAAAGGAACCCCCACTGAATTCTCCGACCACCAGATTCAAAATGTTACTCAGCTTGACATTCCCACTTTGATTATTATTCCAAACACCTAAACTGCATATTAACACACATTTGTTAGTTTTTCCCATTAAACAGATGACAGAGAACAATTTGTGGCTTGGAAACAGGAGAAATTTAAACACCTGGGATATTAACTATATCATTATGTATCTTTTTTTAAAGTAATATTATAGAATTGTAGAAATAGAAAAAACAGCCCCATAATTGTCGTGAATTTTAAAAAGATGAACAAGAAGTGGAAAGCAAAGTTTTTTCAGATCAGCCTGCTTTCGCGGACATTTTAAAGATCATAATGGCCGATTCATATAAAGGCTGCTCACCTGAAACCGGTGTCATTCAGGACACTAATAAAGACCAACAGACCGTTCCGGCTGACAGACTGATGGAATTAACCCGATAAGATCGTTTTGGCCAACAGGGTATCAATTTTTCAGGAAGCATAGTGAATAAAAAAAGACACACTGGGACGTTTCCAAAAGAGAAAGGGGATTTAAGTAATTTTTAAGGTAACTCCCATTTGTAAGACCCTAATTTAGCACGCCAAAGTAACGGACAGTAACTGTCACTAGCACAAACTGTCATGTTGACACTGTAGCAGGAGATGACTACAGTCTTTCTTGTACAGCTTGCAAATACTAATGACAGGTTCACCCCATGATCAACATGCAAGCAAAAATGACGGTGCTTTCCAGAGCCATTCTATCGAGGGGGTGCTGACTCAGGGGGTAACCAACACTACACGTGGGATACCTCCTGGTCGTCTGATGATTCAGTGACCTCATCCAAAGTGCATCCTGCCTCACGTACCGAACTTCCCGGAACAGACCCCACATTGCCGTGACCATTAGCTGGCATTGAGAGTTTTGGAAATCGAATGCATGGCTGAACAGATGGATTACATCTCCTAATTAGACTTCAGTTTCCAAAACTGTTTTGAGCAAGTGATTCTAGGTAGGCAGGGTCTCCCAAGGGGAAAGGAACGCCACAATATATCATGGTGCCAAGAACCTATAGAAGGGCAGCAGATCTACAAAGGCACTAACCCACAGTGTACAAGAACAAAACCACTGTACTGTGGTCCAAATACCAAACTGAAGGAATCAAGCAAGAACAAAGAATGTCCAACATATACAGAAGACACCTGCCAATAGGACACGTTCCTTTTCTTACCATTATAGGGATGCATTACCTTGCTTATACCCCAGAGAACGAGTTTAAATGTGTCTTTTGCTGTTTGTAAGCAAAGGCAAAAGATATCCCTCACGAGAAATGTTAACACGGAGCATGCCAATACACGGTAAGAATAAAGCAAACCATGTCGCAAAGAAATATTCCCAGAAGTGTAAAACCACTGGCAGCACGACACGGAAAGCCTTTAAAAACTTAAGTGTACAAATACTCAACTCACGTGAACCGCGGAGCAGCGGGCAAACGGGATTTTGATGCAAGAAGAGTCAGTTTTGGCAAATCAAATATTCATGAGATTTCAGCCATTGCGGTAAAACAAGCAATCTACAATACCCGCTATCTGCACACCTAGAGAAAAGAGTAATTCCCTAATGAGCTGCAGCACACACATCATGCTGCGTGCTTAGTCATAATGCGTCAATAAAAGTATTAAACCCTTAAAACACCCTTTACTGAGAGAGGACTTGTGGCCAGCAGGGACCCCACCCTCCCCGGCCGCCAGCTTGTGTATTTTTTCCAAGCAGTATCTGTAGATTACCGAACGATGACAAGCAACAAGCTGGCGGCTTATACTCAGAAAAGCGAGAAAAGGCGAGAAAAAAAAAACTTTCAGATGAATCGATCAGCAGCCAGCACATCTGCCTGCACCACAGCCGCTATGATGCGACAGACGCCGCCCGGTATGCAATCGGTTTATGTTCCATATAACCTAGAATAAACACACGATATTAAGGTAAGGTGTCGCCTTTTCCCTTAGTCTAAGCATTCAGAGTGTCACATGTAGGCCTACTTTACGAGTTGTGACTCGCCTAAGCGCAATCAGATGTGCTGACACTTTTAGAAAACACAGAAAACATTAGAAATAAATGTATGCTATTTAAAGTCGCTTTAAAATGACTACAACTATACAAATCATATGGCCGACATTTACATGCTAAGGAAGGGCAGTAGCCTATAATTTGCACATATTTTTAGCGTTTAGGACATTTTGCAAAGAAAATCCATACACGCCATATTTTCCATAAACATAAGATAATGCTATTTTGGCCACTTAATCAACCTGAAAACATCAAGCCCTTACCTGCTCGTAATGTTCAAGTTCAAACAAGAGGATTAACACTAATCTGGCCATTGTGGATTATCTAAGACCTCTGTCACATAGAAAACGGTACCCACTCCTTTCTCGTCATATGGTATTGTACCGATTTAAGTAAAAGTTAGCAGACGAGTGTAAAAATGAACAAATGCGGCTCAGATCTCTAGCCAGCCTCCTCTACTGTTGTCTTGCATTTGGGCCTATTTGCCGGTCAAGTAAAGTCAGAAATGTCACACTGCAGTTTCTCCATCACCATTGTATTGCCAGGTGTGTTATTTCTGTCGAAGCGAACAAGGTGTCTACGGGAAATGCAGTCCGAAATAAGAAATCCGTGGGTGTCGAATGCTGCTCATTACCAGCTGTGCTTTGCCCTGAAACAAAATACGCCGTATAACCCCGTCCAAGAAAACAGCCGGATCATAAAGTCTAGTATTTAAAAATCAGGAACATCTGAGAGATCATCTGAAAATACGTTCTGCTCAACCATAGGAAATATACCGTGTACTTCAGAAATACTCGCATTATATTATATTACCAGCAATCTACTGAAACTGTAAATACGGGATCAAACAACATAAGAGCCTAAACGGCGTGCATATAGCGATGGGCACAGACGGCTGTCCTGGGTGCTTATGTTGAATTCCACTTGCCTATATGCAAGAGACTCTACCACGACACGTATTGAAAGGGCTCAAAATAACGCAAACAGGGTGAACCAGGCAAGATGACCAAATATCCGTACAACATCGGACACAAATTAACATTAAATAGGCCAACATTATCCAACCATGTAGTGCGCTATGGACGGAGCCCGGTTAAGCCCAGAGTAAACAGCAGCTACATTGTATCACAGCGAGATCTCAGTATGTTTATTGCTTACCCGCACTGTGAGTCTACCGACTACTCACACCCATGGTTAGTTGGTAATGTAGTTGCTTATCGGGGTGAATTGTTTGGTTAACCGACAATTTAAAGTCGCGAAGTGACCATCCGCTCCGCTCGTGTAAACCGTCTAGTTCGTGTTCGTCTAGTTTTTAAAATGACGTAAATCGCTGGGGAAAAATAACCAGTGTTTAGTTTTATCCGCCCGGGACGCGTTGCGACAACAATGCTGTCTTACACTTGCTTGATTCATTTCGCATTAAATAAGCTACCAGACAGGTTTAAAGCACAAACCTTACCTGTAAAGAGTGGGAGTCTTTGGGAATCCTTTCCCCGTATCTACAGGCGTTTGGGTAAATTATCCAGTAATATGAATAATCTTTGTCGATCCGTCGCTATGTCTGTAATGTTTACAGAAATATTTTTTTTCTTCTGCATTACCACGGGAAAAGGAACACATTCATTCCCATAAACTAGCTGAAATACGCACACCGGCAGGTCTGTCTAAAATTCTAGCGCACAAGCTATCAGGTGGAGTTTGAAGAGGGACGTCCTATAAGGAAAAGGCGTACGTCACCTCTCAATCTCTGTGTGTGTGTGTGTGTGTGTGTGTGTATGCGTGTGTTTGTGTGTGTTTCCCCACAATCCACAATGAGATAAAAAACCTGTAAATATGAACTTTGTTCGGACATTTTTTTAGTGACCACAAGGATAACCTCAGTTTTATATAAAAAAAAATGTCAGAAGTTTTGTATTTTGTCTGGATACTTATGGATGAGATTAGGGCTGGGTAGGGGTTAAAGTTGTCATTGTTGGGATTAGGCTTATGCCCACAGAAATGAATGGAAAATCCCCATAAAGATGTCAGTATGTATTGTGTATTTGGTTTCAGAGATTTAATAATGGATTTTTTTCTAACAGAAATATATAAGAAGTGTAAATAATAAATAGTAAAATATAAACTGCTCCATGTTTAGCTTTTTGAGTTTTAATTTATATGTTAATTGAAAAAATGCTTGCGTTTTGTTTTAATACACACTCTCAAATATAGTGAAAAATAGATATTCAAAATTGTATCCATCGTTATCGTGGTACAGGGAGCTGCCGTTAAGGGACTTTTATTTTGAATTTATATGTTGTAACAAAATATTTGTTTGCAGTTACGTAGTTTTTGTAATTTGGATCATGGTTCGTGCTCATTACACGTTATAAAAAATCATATATGTTGAACCATATTTTGGAATCCAGATAAATACAATGCAATATCGGACCGTAGGAGCGTTATCTAACTAATCACGTGGGCCCTTGGGCGCTTTCTGATGACGTCATTAAGGCGTACAATTTTACTTTAAATATTTATTCGTAAAATATTATACGTGTGTACATTATAACGAAGAAATATTGTTACCTTGATTATTATGATAAGTATTCATTTAAAAAAAACAAAAAAACAACACATATCTAGTCTCGTACTTATGACGTATAAAGGTCATTGACATGGAGCGCTCGTGAGAAGGACCATACTGCCGATTCATCTAAGAAAAAAAAAAGTCTAACGTGAGTTTCTAAATAATAACATCCCGCATTTTATAGTTTAAATAATATTTGAACCATATCATGGCACGAAGGATCATTTGTATATTATGGAGCGATAGAGAAGTGTTGTGATACTAACCAGCGAATCTATCTTCCAGCAGATTACAATCATGTATTTTTGTATTACAGGTTCCCCATTCACCCGAAACCCAAATGGCTCTGTTAACAAGACTCGGACTCGGCGTCTCCGAGTCATTAAGAGTGATGCCCCGCAAGGCCTTTAGGTAGCAGTAATATTTTTATGCTTCGCGTTTGTGTCGTCCTATAGACGTAACAGAACTTAAGTGTCGTAATGTGATATTCCATTCAAAGTGGAATAACCCAAGTGATTGCATATACATATAATTAAGACATTAAAAGTACACTAATGTATTACTTAAAATTGTTTTGTTTGTGACCATGCCTAAAATTGCGTTTGCCATTTTCTCTTAAGCGTATCTGCAGCTGCATCTGCCATCTACAAAATGACCCGGGTGCGCGTCGTGGACAACAGCTCGCTGGGAAACACCCCGTATCACCGCGCGCCGCGCGTCATTCATGTCTACAACAAATCCGGCGTCGGCAAAGTGGGAACCAAGGTGCTGCTCGCCATCAAAGGACAGAAGAAGAAAGCGCTTGTAGTGGGACACAAAATGCCAGGAGAGCGCATGACGCCACGGTTCGATTCCAACAACGTTGTTCTGATTGAGGAAAACGGAAACCCAACCGGGACACGGATCAAGGTGCCGCTGCCGTCACACCTGCGGAGGATGGACGGGGAGTATTCCAAAGTGCTCGCCATTGCGCTCAAATTCGTATAGCATCGAGACTGCAATTAAAACTTCAATATATTCAGAAACGTTCTCCACATAATCACCTGAAAATTTTGCTTTTTCAAATAAAATGAAGCGTTAACACTGATCATTAACCTTTATTGGTAATTCGAAGTTGGGATGCATGTAAAATACTGAGAAATTGAATACACAGGTACAAATATACAGTATGATACAAAAAAATCCTCCAGACATCAAAGAGTGGCCATAGCACACAACTGCTAACTTTGATATCAATTCTGTATTCAGGCTTTATTTCATGTAAAATAATACACTGTAAGCGGCCCAGTGTGCTGCAGGCTTATTTTTTCTTGCCCTTACTGGGCTTAGCCAAGAGGGCGGGGCTAATCTGGTCTCTGGGGACGCCTCTGACGGAGAACAGCCTGGCCGCCCTCTCCTGGAGGGTCCCTCCACATTTCACCCCGAGCGCCGTGAGCTCGGCCTTCAGCTGCTCCATTCCCAACACTTCCAGCTCCTCCGCGCTGCCGAAAGCCAGGACATCGACAGGTCCGACCACCTGCGCAGACGAGGAAATGCATGGATGTTTGTCTTGCCATTTTTACTTCTGCTAGCCTGCAGTTATTAGTTAGAATATGGAGGAATATTAGGAACTAGAAAGCGCCTGGTCTGAGCAGTGGGGAGTATGAACTGGCCCTCAGTTTCCTCCTAGGCTAAATCAGGCACTGCCTGCAACTGCACCATAATCTGACCAACTGCGTTTCCAAGTCTCCTTCCCTGGTTCTCCAGTTTTGAGTTAGCAGCTCGGATATCAAACATCCACACTGATAATCAGCTGTCTGATTTTGTCCTCAGGGATGCAACATAACTGGTATGTATTCACCATATTCAAAGCGATACATGTGACAATTTCTTTTAGCAGTTAATTTGTACTACTTTTGCGGTATAAAGGTTAAGATGCATTTTAAGTTCATGTCATAGCAGAGCAAATACACGAGTACCCATCTACGCTGTTGTGACCATTTGCCACACATATCGCTTTATATGATGAGCGTCCTTAGGTATCAAATATGTGGATCCCTGGTCAATTTAAGTATAAAATGCTTTAAACAACCATCGCATGTCTTCAGCAGCCGTTAGACACTCACAGCAAGCTCAGGGCTTCCATTCTGGGGTGGTGGCAAGATCGCGCTCTCGGGGGCCGCCACCGCCGCGCTCTCGGGGGCCGCCACCGCCGCGCTCTCGGGGGCCGCCACCGCCGCGCTCTCGGGGGCCGCCACCGCCGCGCTCTCGGGGGCCGCCACGCTCTCCGGGGCCACCGCCGCGCTCTCGGGGGCCGCCGCGCTCTCGGGGGCCGCCACCGTGGCGCTCTCTGTGGTCCCCACAGCTGCATTCTCTGGCTCCTTTGTTGACACTACAGTGGGAATGATGGGATCTTCGTCTGTCTCGGGCAGCTCAGCCTGGAGAGGAGAGCCTGGTTCCTCCTCGTGTGTTTCGGGTGGGGTGCCCTGTGGGGACTCCTGCCCTGGGCTGGAACTGGAACTGGCCTCCTGGCTCTGCTCCACAGTACTCATTTTAGGGCAACTCGCTCCTCTCAAAGTAGTGCCAGGCGAAGCGGAAGGAGAAGAGTCTTCCTCACTAGATTCACTGTCATCAGAGCTCACCATCTCCTCCAAATCACCTACTCCAGACCTGGGGAAAGGAAAAAAAAAAAAAGTTGACCAAAGTGTACTTCACAGATTTGATTAAGATTTAAAAAAAAAAAAAAAAAAAAAAAGAACTTCTACATCTTTCCATTGACCTTACATACAATAAACAGAAGTTTCTAATATATAGAGATTTTACGTCTGATGACTTTTCAGCTACAAAGCAGGTCCAGAAATGCACCTGTTCATATACATGATAAATTTTAAGGTGTCAAATGTCTGTATTTGTCTAGTTTTCTAGACTTCAACTCTGGCATTCTACTGCCATTTCAGATGGTAGTCTTGCCCATTACCAAAAGCATTTCCTCTTCTTGGGTATCTGGTCTTGACTTGTGGGGAGTCTCTTCCTGCTGGGTCCCTCGTCTGCTCTGACAGTCCCACTGGATGAAGCCTGCATACCTTTATCAGATTCATATACATGACATTAGCGCACAGGTTTACCTGCAATGTTGAATCATAAAAAAATTACTAACTCAAGAATGACAATTTGTACAAAATTAAGAGTAAGCACATGCCACCCAAGAATAAGACCACACAGCTTTCTGACATGTGCAGTGAATACTGTAATAATCAACAGACTAGTGGTGTGTTCGATTATCTCTCAGAAGTCGGAAATTCCGAGGTGCGTGACACCACATCCAAGCAATCTCGGAACAAACATGGCTGCCTCCACGAACATGCTGTCCTTGTGTGTTGTTGCTTTATATTTTAGATTTGGAGCGAGATTCTTTTTTTCCGAGACAAACACTCAAGGAACACAAACTAGTCAAACCACATTAGAAGCTTTATAATGTTTTAGTAGATCCATAGCGATATTTTTTTCGAGAGGCAAACAAACTACCAACTAACAAAAAACACTAACAAGTCTGGTAAAAATCTGATATTGCATGCTAGGATACTGTTTACGGTCATGATATAATATTCTCTAAATTGACCAAGTGCAATTACATTTATAACTATTAATATTTAACAAAATAAACATTTTAAAATATTTATAAAATAGAATTACTGTTGACTGTAAGCCACCATGTTGGAATGACGACATGGGAATCTCGTACAACAAAATTCTCATCAACATCGGAAAGGAGGCGTGTTTCCGACAGGAAGTGACATTTCAACACATTTTCATGATGTTTTTATCCGACTTCCGACTCGGAGAGAGAGATAATCGAACGCAGGGCAACAGTCAACTAAGCAAAAATGAAGGTGTTGCCCCAAGTCATCAGTCTGACGTCCCCTACGGGACATGGTTGCTAATAGTATCCTACATGCTCACGAGAGTTTTACTTACACAAAAATGTTCTGAGACCAAAACGAAAAATGCCTGGTTCAGAGAGAGAGAGAGAAAAAAAAAAAAACAGGTTGTAGAGGAGGTGGGTCCATGCAACTAGATGAGACAGGACCAACCAATCAGATGTCTTGGTCCTGTATCCTCCTCCTGTACAACCTGATTTTTTTATTCCTATAAACCAGTCATTTTTCAATCTGGCCATTTTTATGCAAGTCAAACTCCCGTGAGCATCTTGCACTGCACCCTGCACATGCCGCAGTCCCTGCCTTTCAGGACAGAGTCCTCCAGGCGCTCTGCCAGGTCATGGCACTGCTGCTCGTAGTTGGGGTCAGTGAAGTGGTGTTTTGGCTCGGCCAGCTTGCGCTGTAATCGGTCCAGCCGCCTCTGCTCCTTCTCCGCCTCGCGTTCCGCCTGCTTCTTCAGCCAATCAGCCATTCTACCAACACACACAGGCACGCATGATATTCCTCAGCTCGCCCAACGCTGCCACAATGCATGCGGCAAAGGGCATGATGCGTTTCCTTCTGTGACTCGCACGAGCTAAAACTTGTGGCTCACTCTTTTTCGTGGTTGACATCACGGAGACGCCGGCCGCTCAAGTCTCGACATGCCTCGCGGTTGGTCGTCTTCTCGATCTGAGCTCCAAGAGCCCTGAGCATGGACCCAAAGCCTATCAGAAAGCATTAATGTTACTGTTGTACTCAGGTCATGTTTACCTCATGCACTGCGCACACACAGGTTTAATCCAACAAACCTCAACAGGATATAGATGTTTTGGCTAGACTGCATTACGCTTAAGGTACCAAGACATTCAATTATACATTAAAATCACTGATAGTCTATTAATTTGTTTGCCCTACGGGTCCCTGGCAAGATATTGCTTTTAAGCCATGCACAGATACTAGGGCCTCGTTTTCTTCAGATAGACATGTGCAGCTTATGGCTTAGGACCCACCTCCTTTGCCGCCGCACAGCCGAGGCTCCAGTCTGTAAAATCCTCCGGCTTGTAATCCATCTTTCGCGTCACAGATACGGCCATTGCCCTTGACATAAAACTCGGTAGACGGGATTCCCTGAAGACGAAAACGCACTTTCAATGACTGCTACTTATAGTAACTGCATTTAGGAGTACTTTATAAGTTTAATTAAGGTCTATACATAACCATCGCCACATAACAGTAGGTTCTCATGTAAACTCATTACTGTAAGAAAGCTATTCAATTGACTTATACATAATTTATTCAATCAAGCATTGGGAATATTTTGGGGCGCGAATTTAAAACAGAAAGTGGCTCTCCGATAGCAGAAGCCTCATTTGCGTTACAAAACGGATAGACACTTTAGCTACGAGACACGTAAGCTTGTTGTTTCAATTTAACTAACTATGTCTGTGAACTAACTACCTCCTTCTACATTCCAAACAGAAACATATGAGAAGTACTCACGTTTTCCCTGGAGAAAACATTAATCAAATCCCAAACGGAAGCCCCAAAAGAGAGACTTAAACAATGTGAACGGTGAAACACATCCGTCACAAACACATCCATGTTGCTCAAACGCAATATCCGGTGTCTTTCCGGAAGTTCGAAACCTATAGCGCGTGTCGTCATCGACAAGGGTTTTTCCCACAATCCGTTGAGGGTAGGTGACGCAATTAAAATGGCTGCCATCATGAATGCTGTGCGTTTAGCGAGGAAGGACATGCATATTGTATTCTTAAGAAGGGGGAAGACATTGGGATGGAACCGATTAAGTACCCAAAGCAGCAGCAGCAGCAGCAGCAGCAGCTCTGGAGATCAGTCGGAAACGGAAAATGCTACTGGCTCTGCAGAAAAAACAAAGAGTGGATTTGCGGCCGCATACGAGTTGCATTCCGACATGCAGAAACAAGATCTAGCGACAAGTGGACTCCGGTCGTCGCCTGGTGTCAAAGATGTTAAGTCATTCGCATACTTGCTGAGACACTCTTCTTTGATTCAAATGGGACCAGCCAAGGACAAAGTTGTCGTGGGCAAGATCTTTCACATCGTTCAAGACGACCTGTACATCGATTTTGGGGGCAAATTCCACTGTGTGTGCCAACGGCCGGAAGCAGATGGGGACAAGTACCAGAGGGGTACCAGGGTGCGCCTACGGTTGGTCGACCTGGAGCTCACATCTCGGTTTCTGGGGTCTAACACGGACACAACTCTGCTAGAATCTGACGCTCTTCTACTGGGACTGCTGGATAATAGAGATACCAAGTCTAAAGAGTAGAGAGTTGACGACGCTGTGGGTGTTACGCCTCTGAACCGTTATCGGACTGGAAACTATTCTGTTCATTTAAAAATATGCCTTCGATAATCACTGTGGGAAGATAATGCTGTATTTTATTAACATTTCATGACTGAGTTGAAATAATGTACTTTGGCGTTATGCTCATGGAGTTAAAAACAACTCAAAATCGACATAGAAAATCCACGATTAAAAAATGAAGTTTGATGTTTGACATTTTATTGTAATAACACTCTGAAACAGTGCTTCACAGATACGGCACGCCTAAGCAATGTGCCCATAAACAAAACGTGCTTTTGAATCCTAAAACATACTAAATAAAGTCCATTCAAGCAAGAAATAAATGTATATTATGTGCTCTGTGTGTACATTGTCACATTTCTGTTAGTCAAGTAATAGTGTGGCATTCCTAACAATCGGTAGTTATTGAGGTAATCCCTGTTGTACCCCTGAAATTAGGGAGCGATCACCACAGACAGAAACAGCAGGTTGTGGTCTGGTGTGCATGCAGAAATTGAGCAGCCTCACATTTGCTTTCTTTAAATTAAGGCTACATGGTAAACATGGATGCCAGTCCTGAGAGTGAACAGCAAGAGATCAAATCAGAGAGAGATGATTGTAGTACATTTTACAATATCCAGATCTTAATTTTCAATGCATGAACCCTTTTTAATCCTCCTAAGCAATTTATTTTATAAAAAATCAACCACTTTATGACTTTGTGGGGTCACTGAGTAACACAGGTCTTGGCTTTGTAATATTAATAATGGATGCAGGAGTTCCCTTAAATATTTTTCCTTTAAACATCACTGCAGTTTAAGAGTTTTATTTTCACCTGTTATTTCGTATAGTCTTACCAGTGCAGGTAAGTTCTTTTATAGCAAAGAATTTTTAGTTAGGAGTAATTTTCATAAATCAGGTAGTAGATATTTTCTTTGCACAGCAACAATGGATGAATTGTTCTGGAATGGGTTAACAATTAAGCAACTATGAACTGCATGGTTAAGTTCTTTTACTTTTTTAGTCTTAAAAAAAATAATATCCAGAAGGTCACAGTATGTTAAGTCCCTAATCAAATAAAATAGTTTAAAATGGCACTAGTACTGGCATGAACTTGTGAGCTGTCCTTTTGAATAACTAGCACAGTGTTTCTGGGGCTAGGGCAGGGGTGGGCAATCTTATCCGCAAAGGGTCGGTGTGTATGCAGGTTTTTGGGATAACCTTTAGGTCAGGTGTTCAAACCCAGGTGTGAAGACTCTTCAGCCAATCAGTCCTCTAATTAGTGACCTAATTAGGGAGTTGCAGCGAAAACCTGCATACACACCAGCCCTTTGCGGATAAGATTGCCCACCCCTGGGTTAGGGACACTAAAGGTCAAAACTGTTAGTTGAGTCATGATAGAGATGGTGGGACTTCAGTATATCTAAGGTGAAATCCATTGGACCCTTTGCTGGAATGATTTCTTCCTCAGCCACACATGGTCAAATATAACCACTGCAAAAAGGGAGAGAGAGAAGTGTTTGGGTCATTAAGGTGAAGAGAATTCTATAAGGAATCACTGTAGTAGGAATTAATATGAAAATCACAGCCATTTGAGTTGCAAAGTATGAGATTTTACCTCTGTGATGTTTATTTCAACCACTCCAGTCTCATCTTTGTTAAGTTCTTGAAAAGTCCCTAAGAAAAAAGAAAATTTTACAACTTTGGACTTTTAGGAAAGTGCAGTAATAAATCTCAAAGATACAACAAAGCATTCTGAACATTTCAAAAGAGTTACGCACTGAACATAGCTTCTAGCTTGACAAGGCAGCAGATGAAGTTATCAAAGTCGATGGCCTCATTTTCGGCATATCTGGCCACCAGGATCTCATTCAACTTGTTGTTGAGCTTGAAGCCTATAGAATATAAGAACTATGAGAATTAGATAATCAAGTTTTTTCTTCTGTCTTTGTGTGTAATGTTCTTTAAATACAGAAGCTGGACAGTGAAACTGAAACACCTGGTTTCGGACCACAGTAATTCATTAGTATGGTGTAGGGCCTCCTTTTGCAGCCAATACAACATCAATTCCTCTTGGGAAAGGCAGATACAAGGACAATGCAATGGTCCTGCACAGTGGCCAGAGGGATTTTGAGCCATTCCTCATGCAGAACAGTGGCCAGGTCACTCTGCGATGCTGGTGGAGGAAAACATTTCCTGACTCGCTCCTCCAATACACCCAAACATGGCTTAATAATATTCAGATCTGGTGACGGTGCAGGGATGGGGGATGTGGGTGGTCCTTGGCAGTGACGCGCCAACAAGAACATGTAGTGGGCCTAGGGAATGCCATTATATTGCAGCCCAAACCATCACTGATCGATCCCTGTGCTGCAGTCTGGGTACAGAACAGTCTCTTTGGGGCTTCTCCACACTGTAAAACTCCCGGATGTGGGAAAGACAGTGAAGGTGGACTCATCAGAGAATAATACATGTTTCACATTGTCCACAGCCCAGGATTTGCACTGCTGGCACGATTGACATAGACGTTTGCCATTGGCACGAGTGACCAAAGGCTTGGCTATAGCAGCCCAACCATGAACAGCGACCCTGGGGAGCTGCCAATGAACGGATTTGATGGAAATAGGAGAGTCAAGGTGTGAATTTCATTCCGCAGCGAGTTAGGCAGCTGCGGTTTTATATTTTTTGGAATCTGGGTTAATGCTCAGACATCCCTTTCAGACAGCTTCCTTTTGCGTGTACAGTTACTCATGTTGGATGCAAGCCATCTTTTGTGGTGGTATGCTGACATTGCCCTGGATACCATGGCTCTCGACACACCACAAAGACTTGTTGTCCTGCTCACAGATGTACCAGAGAGAAGCACACCAATAGTCTGAAATGTCTCCCATTGTGTTGCGTGGACTGCAATATTCACACTCTGCTCTTACTGATGCAATGTGCAATCAGTGACTGGCCACCACTCTGCACATATATAGGCCTGAAACCTCAATCGCTAGTTTGGCCAGTGTTTCAGTTTCATTGTCCAACCCCTGGACAAGGTACATTACATGTGAAACACTGTAAACTCAAACTTGCAAAACCAGCTTTGAACCAGTGAGTTAGATGGCATGCAGTTGGTGCCGAGAGGCTGAGTAACAGTGAGTTGGTTCAGACGGTACCTGCCGACTCCACGGCCAGACGCATCTCATAGGAGCTCATGGTGCCTGACTTATCGAGGTCGTACTGTCTGAAGAGAACCTGGGGGAGGGGCGAGAGACAGGGACCCGGTGAGACAGACTCAGTAAAACATCTCATCTTCTAAACCAAGAACATGATTTACACATAAGGGTAATAAAAACCAGGGGCAAAAATAAACAGAAGTCCAATGTTGTTCAGCTCCAGATATTCTGGGTTAAATGGTTATCAGCTACAACCTCAGCCCACTCAGATACACGGCGGCCCAGGAACAGGGAGAACTGTGGGGACTGTGACTGGTGATACACCTAAAGCAGGGGTAGCCAATCTTATCCAGAAAGGGCCGTCGTGTATGCGTGTTTTCCCTGCATCTCCGTAATGAGATTACTAATTAGAGGACTGACTGGCTGAACAGTTGTCGTATCTGGGTTTGAACAGCTGACCTAAAGGTTACCACAAACACAGACACAGACACACACACACACACACACACACACACACACACACACCAGGCCTTTGCAAATAAGAATGGCCACATCTGCTCTCCACCTAAAAGCTGCTATAAAATACAAAAATAATCTCATAAAGTCATTTCCGTTTCTCTTTGGTCACATTGATGCCAATGTAGATTTATACTGTATATCTGAGTCATAAACAGCTTATCGTAAAGCCATAAAGGCCAGTATCGGGCTACAGGGCGATATGACCCGACTGCTCACTCACCAGCCATTTTCTGATCTTATTCCACAGAATCTGAAACTCCACCAGCCCAAGACGGGCGCTGCCATCTTTCTGAGGGTTTGCTGGGTAAAGGAAAGTGGTGCCACAGTGGACTTTGTTCAGTGTCTTATTTTTGCAGGAGAAAAAAAGTACCTGATTGCATACAAGGGAAAGTAAGAGAAAACGAAAGGAAGAAAAAGGAAAGTAACGGCCAAATTCACAGACACACACAGCGCTTTGCTTTTTAAAAGATACATCCATGAGGTTAACCATGGTCCGGCAGGATTCCATACTAAAGCCATCTGTCTTTAAGTCCTTATCTGAAATAGACACAATTGCTTTAGTGAAATGAAATCTCCTGATACTGAAATGAAAACAAGAGGCACCATTTCTGGCTTCGATCAGTATGGACAATGTTGCTAATGTGCTGCTCCAAAGCTGCTTTTAATTCTGGGAAAAATGATGTCTTATGAAACACAGGCGTACTTACGTTTGGACACCACCCTGTTAAGGATGGTCCTGAGCTCATGGACAGAGATTTCCATGTCCTGGAAGGTACATATCTCAAGTCAGAGATTTGCGTTAGGTAATAATTCCTTTTGTTGTGCTGTCTAAAATAACCTGGATTTAAACCAAGGAACTAGTCTAAAAAGTCCTAATTATGGACGAAAAAAGTAACAGAAAACTATTCACCTCTCCGGCCAACTGCGCAAACATAGACTTGAAGGAATCATCAATGTCGTCCTCTGTGATTTCCTCCTGCAAAAGTGAATCACAAAACAGGCAAATCTCAATACCTGCAGTAAACCCACGCAGCCATGGCATGCAGAGTGGTACCAGGACTCCAATGTGCTGCACAACTCACGACGTCTTCAAGGTCGGCCGAGATCTCATCGTCCAGCTCCCTGAAACAAAGCGTAAACCAGGCTTCATCATTTCTACAATGTTGTTCTTCAAGTGGGAGGGGCGAGTACCCAACAGAGGATGATGCAAGAAAGGTGAACGGTCAGATGCACTCACTCTGTCTCGGACATCTTCTCGGTAAAGACCCTGAGCACGAAGTCGGCCTCTTTGCTTGGTTCGAAGGTGGAGGGCACCACGAGATACTCCCCTGGGGGCAGGTGAAGGCGTGTGCTCACCTCCCGCAGGTTTATGAAGGTCTGAGAGCGCGCGCACGACGAGTGCGTCAGGAAGAAGTCCTTCTTCAAGTGAATGTTCTGGCAGCCCTTGAACTGTGAGGGTGGAATGTACAGTAGGATAAACATGCACAACAAGGAGTCTATGTGCTTAAAAAGTGCTCGCCACTAGAGGGAGCCAGTGAACATGGAACGTAATAATTGCAACAAGGTCTTTCTGCTAAATAGGCCTTTGGTTACATTCTTACTGCCATTGGAATGCTGATGAGGGAATTAGAGACAGAACAGCTTCGTACCTCATCTGGAATCTATACAAATGGGACACAAAAAGAAAAAAAAACAAATGAATTATTCTGCACACACAGATTTGCAGATAACTGTCAGAAATGATCCTGGAGGCAACTGCTATTCCTTCCTTTTCTGCAAATTTCTTGCTCTTTCCACCTTCTAACCATTTTAAAAAGTTGTGGTTTTGAAGTTGCTAAATATCCTGCTTACGCCACACCAGCTATAAATTCACTTCCAGTCAAAAGATTTTGCACACCGCAGGTTTTAACCACTGTCCTTTAAATGCGCTAGTTAACTGTTGTATCCCATGAAACGGAGCAGTATTTAATGTTTCTTGTAAAAAGAATGCCTCAAATTTTTTCTGCTATTATAACTGCTAGAGGAGGTAACTTTGATTAATCGGAAATTTTCTTGACATTTTCTTGCTAATAAAGGTACTCAAATGGTGAACAAACTGTACATTTATTTGTTAGCAAAGAATATTCAGTGTATTTCTAGTAAATGTTAAGCGAGTAACAATGAACAATGTAGTAAATATCAATGTATGCAAAAAAGTTTGGTATACATTATTGGTGTTTCATTTTCGTGAATGTGTTCATTGGCTGCACTGTGTATAAGGCGTGCCAAGAAGTCCGAATTAGCAGATTTTCAAAACACAAGGTGAACAACCTTAAAAACATTCCAGGTCGCTGAGTCTGACCTCGTAGATGGCGAAGCCGATCGTGTGCATGTCCTGCCCGTGCAGGCGGTACCGCCGTCGGTCCTTCTGCATGAGGGCCACCAGGAAGCTGCAGGCCACCTCGTCGTCGTCTGGGTCATCGTCCTCCTCCAGCAGGGTGATCTTGTACTGCGGGTTGATCCAGAAGGTGCCTGGGGTTGGGGTGGGAGTGCGGGATGTAAGAGGAGGAAGCCGACGAGCGGACGGGAAGCTGCAGCTTCACGCGAAAACCGCGTCATCACAGGTGAACACGGTGGAGGTGACAGATCTGGTTGTCATGGCGACCGCTCACTGGGATGGTTCCGGCAGCCGCCCGCCGTGCTGCCCCGCCTCCACGAACCGTGGAATTTGATGGTGTTCCAGAAGCTGGGGGTGTCCTCGTTCAGGGCATCTGGCGTCAGGTTGCAGATCTCCAGACGGGAAAACTGCCGCAGAAACTCCTGGAAGGACATCCTGAGAAAGACAGGGCGCGACTTTCAGGATGTCCGGGCATCGGCCAGGAGACGCAGGGAGCACCGAGGGACAGCGAGCACCGAGGGACAGCGAGCACCAAGGGACAGCGAGCATGGAGCACAGCCCAGCAATATGTCACACGGTCCTGGTAATATCAACACTACACATCATTTATCATATGGAGTCACATGCAAAAAAGTTTATGATTAAAATTACTTTCTTTTCTAATTAAATACACAGAGCAGAGGAGCTTTTTTTTAAAATAATTTAAAAAGTGTCCATCTATCTATATATTTCATTAATTGGTTCATTCATTCGTTCATATTTAAGCGGCAACTGGATCCAAAGGGAATTTCAAAGTAAAAAAATCTATAAACAATTCATGTATTTTCTAAATATAATTAATTGCTGACTAAGAGCAAAACATACACTTGTGCATCAAGGAAAAGAATTAAGGAACAATTACAGCCATCCATCGACTTGCGTCCCATCGAGAACCGTCCAGTCACGCTCACACCCTATAACAGCCTTAATAAAATTTATCGAGAGACAAAACAGATGCAGCGGATGTCAGCAGACACTTCCTCACATGTGCGGCATGCTGCAAGAACCAAAATTATGGCAAGCCATTTAACTTTGATTCATCTCTAGAGGATATCACAAATTCAACTGTAAGTTAGAATGCAAATTCTTCATCATAAATTCTGCTGTAATAGTTATAATTAAAACTGAATTATAATTAGTTACAATTGAATTCCTGATATCATAAATTGGATTTAACCTTTTTTTCTATCAACAATTGGTATTTTGACTAGTTAAACCTGATTTCCTGATATATATATATATATATATATATAAAAAACTGAATTTAGTTAAAACTGAATTTCCAATGTCAATCAATTATCAATATCAATCAACCATATGCATTTTATCTGAAGTTGAATTTCTGATATCAGAAATACACAATGTAACTAGTTCCAATGGAATTCCTTATATGAAGAATTTGCATTCTAACTAGTTAGAACTGAATTTATGATATCTTTTGGAAATGAATTAAGGCTAAAACGGATTGCCATACAAAACAAACCGATTGTGCTGCCACTATAGAGGTTCAGTTAAATGTGTGTGACATTGTATCTTATTTTATACAATATATCTGACCCATCCCATATAATGATCAAGATATGTCCAAAGTGACTTATGTCCTCACTTCCGGGACTGAACTGAGACGCAAGTCGACGGGTACCTGTATTTGAGAGAAAATAATTTTACCAAAACTCCCCATCTTCCATCTTCAGATGCAAGTCCTCCCTCTCGGACGGGTCGATCTCATCCCACTCAGGGGAGCTGGACAAAGCCACAGGAAGCAGTTAGTGCATGTTGGTGTGAGAGAGCCTTGCAGGCAGCAATATATTACAGGCAGCAACTGCATTTCCTCTTCAGGCGTAGCACTTTGCTGACAAACACACACCATCAGCAAGAGCGTTTTCCCTTGTGGAAAAAAAAAATCGCTTCTAGCGAGAAGATGATTGAATCAAGTATCCTTTATTAACAAACACACTCAGGAGCATTCTACAAGAAGACTCAAGGAAAGCTTCTGAGTGAGGAAAATAGAGGCTTTCCCACCACAGGAACCTTTTTCAGGAACCAAGAATTTCAGTCATGTTCCCACAACTGGAACTCAGGCCAATTCTAGTTCCTCAAAGGCAGTTCTTGAACTTTTTTTTTAGTTACTACTCTGGATTAGTCACTTTTCGCTCAACCAGTAACTACTGGGTGAGACTTACAGCGATAAACTTGCTGACTGGTTTACCACAAGCAGCAGTGGAGAAGTTACACAGAAGGGCAGGGAAAACAGAAGTAGAGGAGCAAAATTTGAGCAGATGTAATTATTTTTGTATATATGAATACCTTTTCTGTTTGGGTGGCCATATTTCTGCATTGGAAAATAAATAACCGTTATACTTCCGTCTAATATTAATTAATTATTATTATAATTTTTTTAAATTTAACCTTTATTGTCCCTCATGGGGAAATTCTTTTTACGCCTCCATCAACCTGCTCTTTGCAGAGTAAGCTGTCTGCGAAGGGCAGCCACCTGTAGCAGCACCCAGGGAGCTGGGGGTTAATGGCCTTGCTCAAGGACCCGCAGACAAGCTGAGGCTGGGTTTGAACCGGCGACCATGTGATTACAAGCACACAGGCTTAGCCCACTGAGCCACACGCTACCGATACTGGCAGTGAAACTTGCCAGCGCTGATTAGTGGAATAACATTACATCATTTTTTGTTCTGTGGAAAACAAAAGATCGATCTGTTGGCCAGATTTAAGAATGAATTATAAATACAAATAAAATATAAATAAAATGCGTATTTCTGCACTGTTCCATCTCCTCCAGAAAAAAAAATAAAAAACAACGTTTATCTTCCACTGTTTTGGGGTGATAGTGTAGTTTCTTATGAAATTACACGTGAAGTTTAAGCTACCTTGTTTTTTTGTCTTCCATGTTAATTTAGCATAAAGGTCACAGTTCCTGTTGCACGTTGGAAAGGTGACACACGCCAGTGGCCACGAGCTACAAAAGTACCAGGTGGAGACGGCCCAGGGAATCGGACCCTGAACTTTGGTGCGAATGCGCCTAATAAACGCAACTTGGATGGAAGAACCAGGACGTGTGTCATTCGGTTAGTTACCTCCCTGCCTGCGGGGGGCAGGTGGGGTGAAGGAATTTACATGCCCTGTGGGTTAGGTGGGCCACTTACACATCAAAGGAAAAGAGTGCATGAATGGTGGGTGACAAGAAGCAGGTCGCATGGTTGGAAAGGCCTAGTCTGACATACCGTCAGCAAAAGCTCTTTATTGCAAGGTCATTAGCATTTTAAAGGCAAACAGCCAGCAGCACTTAACCGACACACCACTGCCCCCCTGCTAGCCAAAGTGCTTTATAGGAATACTGTCAGCAATAGCACTTTGCTAACACACTGTTAGCGATTGCATTTCACAGCTAATGAGCTGCACTTCACTGGCTAATGGGCATGGTAGCTTGCATATGTGCTGAGGAACACGCAAAACACGCGTGTTTAGAGACTCCACTCACTTGTCACTCCATGCCCCGGTCCACTCCACCTGCCCCCAGGGGTTCCTGATGCGAATCAGCCTCTCCATCTGCTCTTGGTAGTTTACCTGTGACACAATAAGCAACCGCAGTAGTGGAGGCGGTAAGGAACATGCCTACAACCCAGAACGCCGTGGGTTCAAGCATTAAATAGGGAGCTAGCAGAAGCTACGGCCGTTAGCCTGCTGCCTCTTTCTCTGGCCCCGCCCACCTGCTTCACCGCGGTCACGGAGTACGCATGGCCTTTCACCAGCTTCTTGAAGGTCACAGCTTCCATATCGAAGGCACTGGTGATCTGCAAAGGGTCGGGGGAGGGTTTGAGTCTCAGCTACGCCGTAACGTTTATACGGAGCAGCGCCGTTCAATATGGCTGCTCTCCAGGAGAGCTAGAAGCACCGAAGGGACTACTGACGTCGATGGAGCAGCCGAGCAGCGAGCCCCTGTCCAGGGCCTTGCTGATGATCTTATAGAGGTCCCTGGGGGCATTCCGCAGCTCGTACATCTCTGCCACGCCCCCCGTGAAATCCTCGAACCCCTCGGTGGTGCTGCCCCCGGACAGCGCTTCATAGGAGCCATTGAGCCTGTGGTGACACAGTCACGCGGTTAGCGGCCGCATGTGATGCAGCGTCTTCGGCTAGCAGGCGAGCACCTACTTGGCGTAGGCCTTCTCCAGCAGGGCACTCCAGAACTCATTGCCCTCGGCCGAGTGGACAAACATCAGCTCCCCGGCCTTCACCGGCAGCCGGTCATCGATCACCACGTCCACCCACTCGCCAAACTGCCAGAACTGGGACACAAAAGGTGGGGGGTGAGAGAAGGACCGGACACGAGTCTCGTCCAGCCACATCGCTGCAGTTTTTACTTAAACGGCATCCATTTAACTGTGTGGTCCAGGGCGCCATGGCAACCTGAACCAGCTTAAACTAAGCACCTGGAAATGGAAGATTCCAGCATAGTCTTCCTCGAAGGTCTGGCCATGAGGGACGACGCGGTGCAGCACGTTTTCATTCAAGGTGAGCGAGGCAATGGCTGCCAGAAGCCAGCAATCCCCTGCAGTCAGACAGACAGTTGTTATCTTCTGGTCATTATCATCTCATTAGTGCTATTATAATTAACCCGCACTAATCAGGAGATGGGCCTCGGACCAAGACAGCAGCTGCAGTTTGTATAAAGTGAACAAATAACAGAAAAATAACAAACAGAATAGTAAACCAGTGCTGAGTGTAAATCACTGGCAAAAATGCAGTGATAAACAGTGTCAGCAGCCTGTCTGGGGTCCCCTGGAGGATTAAAGCTGCATTGATGGAAACGGAGCCAAACTAGAGATGTGCAGGGAGCAGCAGAGCACAGCGATGAGTCTGCATGATAACCTAGAGGGACGAAGATTACAGGGTATGTTTCTGCTCCAGGAATCCCCGTGACACAGGAATCGCGATTAGAGAATGGCGGACTGGCACGAGTCACCATGCAGATCGAGGGGGTGTGACCTTTCGGGGCAACCAGACACGGTGAAAAGAGAAAGGGGAGAGAGAGATAAGGGGGTGGTGTGTCGTTCAGTGGGTTAGGACTCTGTGTGATCAGAAGGTTACTGGTTCAAATCCCAATGTCGGCAAAGTGATTTCACTATAGGAAAGAAATCCTTAACTCCCAGTTGCTCCAGGTAGGGCTGGCCCTGAGTGTACAGGGTATGTGTCTGCTAACTAGCAAACTAGCATCTGTTTCACAAGAAGTGCAGTGTAATATTAAAACTAGTGTAAATAACTAATGTCACATAATGTAGCCGGAGGCATCTCTCCTGATTTTTTTCACCTGCTCTCTGGCGCCCCCTAATCAAATCGAACCCCAGGCCCATGTCACCTGTAGGGTGGGCTGGCTCTGGCTCCAGGCACTGGCTGACCCTGCACTCTCAGAAGTGAATAAAAGCATCTGTTAAATACATAAAATGTAAAATGGAATAACGAGGAATGCGTCTCGCCAAACAGGGGCATGAATTCCCTGCCGGTAACGAACGTGAATCGTCCCGCAAGCTGGATCACGTTATCGGCGCTCTGAGTCACTGCAGACAATCCGGAACCTTCTCCGTGCTCCACCACACCCAGAACAGCAAATGCACCCCCTGCAAGTCTTATCCAATGACCAGAGGTGGCAATTTCAGGTCCAGAAAGTAAAAATCCAGACCAAGATTTAGTTTCAACCAACCAGTTGAGCACTCTGTGACTGTGACTTTTTATGCTCAAGTGGTTGGTCGAAAGTAAATCATGGTCTGGATTTTTACTTTCTGCACCTGAAATTGCCACCTCTGCCAACAACGGGTTTTTAGAGAGCCGAATACATCGGTACGTGACGGAAAGTGCAAACTCCACACAGAGTGCAAAGGTGGGATTCAAGCCTCCCGTTCTAGAGGCGTGAGGCAAAAGAAAAGAAATTAACGGCTAGTCCGGGCAAGTCTCAGCACCCACCAGCACAATTTAAATGCCCTGCCACAACCATAAATGCTCTAATTACACCAATTACAAATGCTTCACAATGGAAAACACGCCCCATGGCATGTAGTCATACCCACTGCGAACAGCAGGGGGAGCCTTTGGCCACAGACACTTGTAGGAGTCGGAGGCAGGATGCCAGGATGACACACAGGGGAAGGCCTGTGTGGGAGATGCGGGAGACACCCATCCTGTACTGGCAATAATTCTGGCATTTTCCAGAGCGGCACAGTTAAGAAAACTACAAAAATGCTAAAAATGGAGTGGAACTTGCAAATACAAGCCGTAGCACTACAAAAACGGTGCGGAGCACATGGGCTGGAGCCCCCGCACTCGTGACAGAGGGGCCATCTTCCCCCTGGGCGCCCGGGCTGTGAGTTAGCGGTCCACAGCGGTGAGTCACCCCAGCTATGTGCCCGGAAACACCCTCCAGCCGTAACATGAGTTACATTCAAGATTCTGCGTCACTCGTGCTGCATGGGGGATAAAAGAAAAAGGGGCCAGACGCTGAGGGCTTCCGCCCACAGGGCACTGGTCCACCTCCCTGCAATGTTCTCTTTATTTACCTTCATTTCAAGAGGCAATGAAGAATCACTGCAGGGGAAACAGCCACATCAGCATAATGACTGGCACTTCTGCGAGGTCTGCGCTTCCCAGCCCCCCGGCCCAGTCAGCAAGGACGCAAATGTACAAAATGATGGGGGGGGGGGGGGGGGGCAAAGTCGCATTTCCCCTTAAAGATGGGCTTCCCCGTTACCGATTCCTCCTGAGTGGTCACCCACACAGCGTTCTGTGAATCACTTGTTTAAATGCAGTGTTCCGAACTGGGCTGATTGATTTTCCGCTTCGTTGATTAACGGGCAGGAATTATAAATGACCTCTTATAGCGAGTCAGCACTAGTATAACTACAGAGAACGATTGAGCCATAAGACTGATTGTAGAAGGGTAAGGAATCCCGTGCTTGCTCTCCAGTGGTCCATCCGCCTGCCACTCAGGGAGTTCATCCAAATGCCACAGAGCACAGAAGCGTGGTCCAATCAGAACAATGGCAGGGGGTGGGGCTTGCAATGCTTTTCAAAGCAGGGCTGTTTTTGCTCAATTAACCGCAGGCGCTGTGGTGAGGTGCTGTATAAGGTCACAGCAGAAAAAGGCAGCCTGCCAACACACTTCCTGCTTAATGACAAGCAAGTGCTGTATTTGGCCCAGTAGAAAATGTTTTTGGTGCAGGAGATAAAGACACAGAGAACAGAAAGGGGAGAGTTCGCCCACGACACCAGGAAGTCCGAAACCTGAGCTGGCGACCACAGCGGCATGAGGACAGGCAGTCGTCACTCGCAGGGACCGTGTCCCATGCCGCGTAATCCAGAGGAGCTGAGCATCACAAGACACCCCATACAGATGAAAGGGGAGTCATGAGCCAGTTTTGAATTGACTCAGGGTGGGGTACATAGAAGGCAGGGGCCAATCAGAACTTACCCAGGGCCCCCTGGCAAATGTCAGTCCTTGTGGCTCCGCCCACAATAAACTGGGGTTCACTCGCCAACTCCTGCAAAAAAAAAAATCCAGTCGAACAAGTCAGGAATGTCCGAGCAGCCAGTGGAAAAAGCATGACAGCTCACCTGAAAAGCTTTCAGCCAAAACAACGGGTCTGAACTTCCCAGGCTTATTTTCAACTTATCTTAAAAAAAGGCAATGCTAGTGGACAGGAATGTGAATAAGCCTCGCACTTAAAAGAGGTAAAGTGTTTCTGTCAATGTGGTTCGGCTGTCTCCCTATTCTGTGATAAATATTCACTAATGGGAGACCTGTTTTATTTGTGCATGCTTTGAGAACGATGTAAGCCTCTGCTTCGATTTTTCACTGGGACGGTAGGTTTTTTTTTTCGTCCTTGAGACGACTTGGAGGGAAATTCAACACAGAAGTTCGTAGACCATGTTTGGGATGCATTACCATCCAGTATCATCTGAATCACCAGTTCTCGGACATTTCTCTGAGGAAAAAGAGGTGGATCCAAGCAAGCCTCAGGGACCGGTGGATCAGCGAGGCCAGGCCAACTCGAAGGCATCCCAGGGTGCACCTGGTGTCCATTGGCCAATCGTGATGCGAGCTATACGCCCACGACCTGCGACTGGCCCTCAGCAACAGCGGGAAGGCAGGGCCGGCATGCAGGATTCTGAACTATTCGACCCCCCACCCCCAAGCAAACACATGCTCACTAGGGAGAGGCACGTTTCTGCATCACTGCCCACTCTCCCAAGTGTGCAACACACAGCAATACGGGTAACGCCAGGCATGATGGGAAATGCTCCGGTCACCGTGGGCACTCCCATTAAGAGCGACTGTGAAAGGCACAGGTGACAAGGTCATCCAAGGACTTCCAGACATATGTAATCAGAGCCATTTGTCTTCAAAATATTCAATGCAATGCAAAATAATCTAGAAGAGGCAGCTTGAGTCAAACATGATGCAAACCCACCAGTTGCCTAGAACAAGTCCTGTCAAACTGAGGTACTGATTAAATTTCGGGAAATATAGAATTATTGGTGTCCTTTACAAAAATGAATAATTATACTGTTTTTCATTTTACGCAGTCCTCTTGCCTAAGATGTGCATGGTTGAAGATTTTGATTTTGATCTCGTGTAATCACAGCACAGCATTCCAATGGTAGTTCAAATAATGGTTATCAAAGTTCACACTTTGAAATTTGAGGGTTGTGCTAGTTAGAGATTCTTTTGTGCAACATTTCCAAAGGGTTTATTGACATTAAGGTGCCGTCTGAGAGAAACCCGATAACCCAGGAGACTCTGATCCTTGGATTCCTCAGGACTGGTCTCCCTCATCGTCTCCCTCATCATCTCCCTCGCTGTTTGGGGGTTACTGTGTGCATACATCCTCTTCTTGGCAAATCAACCTGAATTCCAGACTTCTGAAACTTTCTGACAATTCTCCTAGCCGCGCTCAGTGATATTTTCAAGTGTTAATGTATGCTTTAATATGTTACCTGATCTGCATAGGACTGCTGTTGCCCACAGTGTTAGATGATAAAGGGGTGTGGTCATACATATGTGTGCAACCTCCTATTAATACCCCAGGGAAACAGGTACTGGTGAATGATGGCAATAAAGTTCCTGTATATTTAGACCAACTTATCAGAAGAGAACTTCACAATAGATACCACTTTGGTTGGCTTTATTTTAAATATTTTTTATGGGTACTAAAAATTTTGAAACCTATGTTTTATTAAAATGTTTTGAAAAATCATTGTGCTAAAGTAAACGGGTACACCCAGATTCTGGAGCACAATAACGGGATCATCGTGTGTATCTATTTAATACAATGATTTCTTGTCATTTTCATGATGGGTGCCATTAATTCCTGAATAGATTTTATTGTACCATTGTGTAGCAAATTGAATGGGTGTGTTCATATTCTTCCTGCCGGAGAATAATGAAAGCAACTGGCCAGCAGTAAACATCTTAGCAGCCCTTAGTTTTATCACCACAGCTGTGCGTTTAATGAGAAAACAAACAAGGCCTCTGATCCAGATTAACAGCGGTATTCCTGACTGAGCCCTGCCCCCGCAACCCCAGGGCAACTAAACACAAAAGGAAACAGTTTATAGAATCTGCTGGTAAGACACTCATCTACCTCAAGGGCAGGTTTGATTGATAATTACAGCTGGAGTCATGTTTTATTTACAGAGAGCGTAGAAGAGCATTCAGCTATACACAGAAATAGTTTACTGTGGATTCAGGCCACATAACATACCGTGTAAGACGTTAGAATGACGAGAATGTGAAGTAGCTGAGAACAAGAAGGAATTTTTTAACAGGTATGTGAGTGAAGCAGCCAAAACTTGGAAAAACTTGGAGACTGGGAACGTCTCATAATATCGTGGCCATCGATACAGAATAGGAGGTGTGACACGTACATGTGCCGAGATGACCAAACACACACCCCCCCCCCCC